TATTAGAAAGAATAAATGTAATGAAGGAACAAACTTATTCAGGGTTTAGGGAAGGGTCAAACAGGAGCTGATGGACCTATGCGGCCAATATATTGTGTCAATAAGTAACAAAATTATGTTTATGCACTTACTTGACTTGTCATCAAGAATAACAACTCCCTGCTTGCTAACACTATATACATTATGGATGATGAACTTCGAATTGACAAGTTTGATGTCTAAAACTTCTTCTAAGGAATCCAGGCCAAGAATTTTCTGTAAACTAAAAGATAAGTAATTATATTAATTAGTTCTTTCTTTCATATTACATTTACTCAAAAACCTGGTACTACAAAAAATCAATCTTCATAATGCTTTATTTTCATGCACTGCACCCAATCTTTGTGGGACAAAAAGGGTAGAAATGGAGTACAATAAAACAAATGTAAAAGATATCCTTTTGCTATTAACATTTTGCTTCACAGATTTAGTAATACGCCAAATGACAAGAAAGTAATTTTGTAAGTAAAATTACTACAACACAAAAACTAACTTACCCAATGATAAGAAACTACTATTAGCATATCTTCATGAGAAACAAAATTTTGCTGTATATGATTAACTTTATACGAATAGTACATCAATATCTAGGAGACCAAATTTTCTATTATGTATTTTATTACACTTAAGAACTTTTAAACTCCTAACTATTATGTAAATAGCAGGAGATAATCCCCAGAATTCCGCTAAACTATGTTGACTGAGCACAACTGCAAATAATGCAAAGTGGAGATTTTTATATACAATTTCAGAAAATTAAATATGCAGAGAGTGAAGAAGTACCAAAATAGGAAACAATATCTCTAAAATTTCTCATTAATATCAACTGTACATACTATGATAATGTCATAGACTTCCATATCTCTTCTACATTGGCCTCTGTCAGCTGTCTGCGGTGGACAAGACGGCAAGCTGGAACCTCTCCAATAGCAATACTGTGACGCTTGTACCACATCTCAGAATTCTAATGGAGGGGGATGTAAGAAGGTAGGGAAGGAGAAACAGTAGAAAGAGAGAGAATAAATATTTCAATATAAGGTGGTGTGATTTTTATGAGAAATGTCTTTGATTTGGTCACCTGTAATTTGATTTAAAATAATAATTAGAAACATAAACTAACTTTCTTTGCATGAACCTCAGAGAAGCAAAGAGTGATTCTTAAGACTAGGTAACATTATAAATGAATATTCATGAATTACAAAAGAGCTATGGCAATAAGTATGGCATTAACTAGCTAATTTTCCCTGTGCATGTTTCAACTAATCAGTGACATAGCAGTGAAATAAAAGTTTATTAATTAAAAATTAAGGAATACATATCTAAATTCACACACAGTACAGACTGATTATTGAAAATGAAATTAAAATGTATTACTTTTGAGGGCTGTCTATTTTTTTATAAGCAAATATCAAGTAAGTGCAATGTTTGAAAGTAGCCCCCAAATCTTAGGCATCTGCAAAAGGCTCCACAAGGACAGCTGAAGATGGCAAAAGGAAGAGAAAGGTTTTTTTGTTTGTTTGCTTTTTAGCATTACCTCAATCCTGGTGGTCTTCTACTGGGGATATTTTAAGGAAAAAATGTGGGAAAAAAAAAAAAAGAGGCAGTCAATTCTATAATAAGCTTAGGTTTTCCAAGACTAGAAGCATCTACCTTTGTTTATATATTTGGTCAGGGGCTATTCCACAATATTCCATGCCCTAATCTTCTTACCCTCAACTGGCAATAATAACAAAGTTTAGGAGGAAGAGACAAAGAGGAAAAAGAGTAATAAATTATAGAACATACAGGAAAAGGCGGTTACAAGAGAGTTGTAACAAAAACCTGCTCAGTCTGAACATACAAAAACAGCTGCCATATACAATTGACCCTTTATATCGATGGGTTTCGCATCTCTGCATTCAACCAACCACAAATTGAAAATATTCAGGGGGAAAAAATGGATGGTTTCATCTGTACAGAACACATAGATTTTTTTTCTTGTTATTCCCCGAACCGGGGGTCCTCAACTCACAGGTCACAGACTGGTATCAGTTCATAGACTATAATAAACCAGGCTGCACAGCAGGAGGTGAGCGTTGGGCAAGTGAGTGAAGCTTCATCTGTATTTACAGCCTCTCCCTGTTGTTCACATACTGCCTGAGTTCCACCTCCTGTCAGATCAGCCGCAGCATTAGATTCTCACAGGAACGTGAACCCTTTTGTGAACTGTGTATCTGGGGGATCTAAGTTGTGTCCTCCTTATGAGAATCTAATGCCTGATGATCTGTCACTGTCTCCCATCATCCCCAGATGGGACCATCTAGTTGGAGGAAAACAAGCTCAGGACTCCCACTGATTCTACATTATGGTGAGTAGCATAATTATCTCATTCTATATTACAACGTAATAATAACAGAAATAAAATGCACAATAAATGTAATGCACTTGAATCATCCCGAAACCACCCCCATCCCCATCCCAGCAGCCCTGGTCCATGGAAAAATTGTCTTCCACGAAACCTATCACTGGTGCCAAAAAGGTTGGGAACTGCTGCCCTAAACAATACAACAACTATTTACACGCAAGAGTGAAAAACTGCAAGAGTCAGTCTTTCTTTGTTACCGGTCTCCCAGCTGTTGGCAGGTATGATTTTGTTTTGAAGTACCTTTAAACTATTGTTCATAAAGGACCACAGAGAGACAGACCAAGCGTAAGAGTTCATGGATGATTCTCCCTGCTGCCAGCCCCTCCGTCTTTCAGTTATGGCACTTACCATCACAACTGGCCTCACTGGGATGTTCTCTTGTGAAGTGCCTGGTGCGGGATCATTCCATTCTGGAAACTTAATAACATCCTTTTGGTATGGGGGTTTCTTTGGATATGGTTTCAGGGGTGAAGAAGGAGGAAATCTAAAACCCAAGAAGAAATTCTCTATTACTGCAGTCAGTGGGAGACACAGATATTTTAACAATAGTCTCCACTTTTGTGTCCCTGTAAAGTTATACAGTAATTACAAACTTCAGATAATAAATGAGCTCACACTTAATCAAATTATTACACATGATTAATTGTACCCAACAATAATATGGTTTTCTTTTTAATATTCATTCATTATGCCCATCAAATAACATTTATGGAGAAAAACAGGAATTGAATATGTGGCACATTTTTAAATAAATAAACAAAACTTGTTCTCTTATCATGTGATGTCCATGATCAAAGAGGTTCTTAAGGAGATGCTAGACTAAGCCATTTCTTTCACTGAGCTAAAATCCTTACTGCCTCATAACTCCAGCCAAAATGCATACATGGTGAGCTGCATATAGAAATTACTGGTAGAGAAATCCTCAGTAATACTTGCTAAGAAAGAATACATTAACACAAAAATCATTTGGCTTAATTTTCACTTGTATTACTATTTCTAATAAAGATTAATCCTTTTTCCATTGAATATCTAGCACTTCACACTGAGATTGGAGCTTCGGTCTAGAAACCCATCTTGGAAGGAGCTAGAAAGTGGCCATGTCCTTATTCTGCCCTTCCACACTCTCCCCTGTTCCTAGCCTTCCTGTGTATTGACAGCATCACTCCTTGGACTAATACCTAAAAGTCTAAATAAATTTTAATTTTTAAAACTGCTCTATACCATACCTGGTAAATAACAGAAAGGTGATTGAATACATAGTTTTTATCAGAGAATCTTTTTCTGTAGGCTTGTTAGAAAAGGATACAATGCATTACATTGCACTGCAAAAGCAATGTAAGAACTCTAGTTCTTAATGTTGATATAAAAGGCAGTGGGTTGTTGACTTTTATTTTGACTTTTTATTTACTTAAGCCAAAATAACAGCTTAATCCATATTATCCATAGAAAAAAAAACATACAAATAACGAAAGACCTTATCTCAAAGCAAATGCAGAAATAAAGAATTATAAAATGTCTATAGTGTTCAAGGGAAGTTTATATGAAGGTGAATCCAGAGAATCACAAACAAGAGTACTAAAGGAAACAGAATGTGTCACCTCAAAATATTCCTCTTTGACATAATTTTTTGGATCTAAAGGCCATTTGAAGCAAATACAGAAAAGCACTCTTTCCTCTGTCTAAGAGCAGGAGAATTATTAATATAAAGACAAAAGGTCGATCTTTCCCTCTTTCCTGCCTCAAAACAGTATGTAAATTCTCCTTTACAACCTTTATCAGCTTAGAGACTGCACCAGAGGTATCTAAGCAGACTTTATTAGTTTCCCCATAAATTTACTTTCCCACACTTTCCTGTCTTTGGAAGCCTTAAACTGCTTTAATGAGTCCTGATGCTTCTCTAAAATTTATTGCTTTTTGTTGAAGACCTGATATAAGCTGGGACTCTAAGGCACTGCATCTAGTTATTTTTCTCCCATGGAATGTGCACTGCACACATTAACAAACCTGCTCGTTTTTCTCTTGTTAATCTGTCTTTTCTTGCAGGAATATGTCCCAAGTATGAACTTCTGAAGGTTGACAAAAACTATAATTTCTCATCTTCAAATAGAGAAACGTTTCAAAAACAGTCACAATAGATTTGAAAAGGAATGACTAGTGGAGAAAAGTTGCATTTCATCTTTTCTGAAAAGAATATCCAAGAACTATTTTAAACATCAGTTTTGGGTCAGTTAAAAAAAGAGAGAGATCTGGAAATCACTGAATCAAGTTAAAGATAGCTTAAAGTTTGGTAATCAAGTTACCAAGGCAGGTGTTCCCAAAAGATTCCAAAATATAAACTAAATGAATCTCTATAGCCAAAACATCTTTCTTTGTAAATAAAGGGTGGCTTATAAAAGTCCAATTATATTTCTTACAAGTCAACAATCCCAACAAATGCCCATTTCCAGACAAAGTACAGCATTTATGCATGTGTATGTGCATACATGCTCACATACACATAGGATATGTTCCACAGATCATCCACCTCTCAGTTCATTCAAAACTAAACAAAATCCCTACTCCCATCCCACCACTAATGCCCTCTGTTTATTCTCCCACTTCATCCCCTCAACTATGACACAAAGATTTTCAGACCTGAGTTTCGGGCTTTCTCACAAACTGTCTATGTGTCTTTAGAAAGTATAAGTCTCTCTAAATAATAATTCATTTATTTGTCAAATGAAGGAATTAAATTGGATGACCCATAAATTTTCTCCTAAGTCCAAAAAGATGCTTCTTATATTCCCATAACCAGAAAAAAAGTAATATCTTCCAAAGACCAAAGTAGAATTTGTTACGTGTAAAATTGTGATTGAAGAGATACCAGGAAATCACTTTTTTCCTCCACACTAAGAAGATGAGATCTTTGCTGTCAGTAACATCTGCAGTTACCAACAGAAGATGTGCTATCTATTTTCACAGCAGTCTGACAACTTTGCCTGAGAAAAAATGCAGAAGAGCTCCCTCCAGTGGAATACTTTTATTTTGGGCATTGAAAGTTAGTAATTTAATCCTAACATTTTAATAATGTAATATTTCAACTGTTAAAGATGATCCAGTTCAAATGCCACATTTTTCGCTCAGAGAAATTAAGGCTCAAAAGAGGAAAGCAACTAATTTAAAAGCTTCACAACTGGCCAAGAGAACAAACCATCTTACACAAAGGATTTGCAAGCCAAATTAAATCTTACACAAAGGATTTGCAAGCCAAATCTTAAATCAAAGGATTTAAGAAAATTATAAAAATTTATGCAAAAAAAAGACAGTGTGCCCCCTAAAAAGAAAATTATAAAATTTTATTGAAAGACATTAAAGAAGAACTAAATTGATAGCTATATTATGATGGTAAATAAGATTCTATCTTAAACTCAGGCTCAAGCAATCCTCCTGTCCTCCTGTTTCAGCCTCCTAAGTAGCTGGGATTACAAGTAGTTGCCACTGTGTGCAGCTTAGTGAATAAGATTCCATATCATACAATGTTAATTTTCCCCCATGAAGATACATAGTTACAATGAAAATTTAACAAAAACATTAATATAAAAATTTTTATGAAACATGGTAAACTTATTCCAAGCCAGGCACAGTGACTTACATTTGTAGTCCCAGCTACTTGGGAAGCTGAGATGAGAGGATCACTTGAGGCCAGGAGTTCAAGACCAGCCTGGGCAATAAAGCGAGACCCCATCTCTAAAGTAAAAAAAAAAACAAGAAACAAGATCAACTGATTCTAAAATTTATATGAAAATGCAAAGGCCCAAAAATAAGACATTCTTAAAGAAGAAAAACAAAGTGAGGTGACATGCCCTATCAGATATCAAGACTAACATAATAGGGCAATACTAATGGCAGAGACCATACTTCCCCAAGTTCCGCACTGTTGACATTTAGGGCAGGATAATAATTTGTTGTGGGGAGCTGTCCTGTGCACTGGGGGATGCTGCTAAGTGCAAAGTATCCCTGGCCTCTACTCACTGGATGTCAGTAGCACCCTACACACAACACACACACCTGTTGTGACAACCAAACATTTCTCCAGACATTGCCAAATGTCTTCTGCAAAATGGCCCCCAGTTGCAAATCATGGGTCTAGACAAAGAGAATTCAAAACAAATAAACATTACTCTTTAGAAACATGATTTATGATAGAGCAGACATTACAGATCAATGGGAAAGTATGGACTGTTCAATAAATAGTACTGAGCCAACTGGTTACCTATTTGGAAAAAATGAAATTGCATCCTGGTTCAGCCTGCCATATTTCCAAAGGTGTTTACAATCATACCTCCTAACCATATGCTCTTTTGCAACATGATCTTGCCACTACTGTATCAAGAGGCAGAGCGTCTTTCTCTATCCTCTCAAGTCTAGGTGAGCCCCCTATAATTGCTTTGATAAATACAATAAGGCAGAAGCACTAGCCTAACTGGCTAGAACGCTCTTCCTGCCTCTTGAAACTCTCACTCTTGTATAACTCATTATTATGAAGCTCCCTCTTGGAAACCAGCCATCTTATAAGAAGTATGACCATCATGAGACCACCATGTTGTGAAATATCTAAGCGACAGGAAGAGGCCCTAGAAGACGAGATACTGCAAGGAAAGAAACTGAGGTAAAGGAGCACCAAAATTCCACATCTGCAAATAAACAAATATTCCTGGAGGTGGATTCTCCATCCTCAGCAGCCCCAGTTCATGCCCACCTAAGCAACCTTCCAAAATTCCTGATCCACACAATTACGTAAAAACTACAATGGGCCAGGCACAGTGGCTCACACCTGTAATCCCAGCATTTTCAGAGACCAAGGTGGGTGGATTGCCTGAGGTCATGAATTTGAGACCATCCTGCCCAACATCGTGAAATCCCATCTCTACTAAAAATACAAAAATTAGCCAGGCATGGTGGCGTGTGCCTGTAATACCAGCTACTCAGGAGGCAAAGACAGGAGAATTGCATGAATCCAGGAGGCAGACATGTCAGTGAGTTGAGACTGCGCCACTGCACCACACCAGCCTGGGCAACAGAGCCAGACTCCATCTCAAAAATAAAGTGGGGAGTGGGGGAGGAGGGGGGGGTTCCAAGATGGCCGAATAGGAACAGCTCCAGCCTCCAGTTCCAAGAGTGAGTGACACAGAAGACGAGTGATTTCTGCATTTCCAACTAAGGTACTGGGTTCATCTCACTGGGGCGTGTTGGACCATGGGTGCAGGACAGAGAGTGCAGTCCACTGAAAGAGAGCCGAAGCAGGGTGAAGCATCGCCTCGCCTGGAAAGCACAAGGGGGAAGGGAATTCCCTTGCCTAGCCAAGGGAAACTGTGACACACAGCACCTGGAAAATCGGGTCACTCCCATCCTAATACTGCGCTTTACCAAGGGTCTTAGCAAACAGCACACCAGGAGATTATATCCTGCACCTGGATGGGAGGGTCCCACGCCCACGGAGCCTCC